GGGATACTGGAAAGAGGTGAATCTCCTACACACTCAGGCTCTTGGTGGACGTGCTAATAGTCAGATTTCTAAGACCTGGAATAGAAGTGTTCCGGTGGAAGTGTTGGGTCCAGGAAGTCACTTCTTGTGGTGTAACATAGACCAACAAGGAGGAGATGTATTTCTGGCATTATTAAAATGAAGATGAGATGGAATTCCTTTTTTTCGTAAATGTTATGTTCATTTACAGCTAACTGGAAAAGAATTTTGGCAGTTATCAATAACAAAATTTAAAGTGGAGATTGTCACCTAATTCCAGTCTATTCTACATTCTGAAGAGCCTGGCACATGGCTTAATCTAAAATCATGGCAGAGGCAGGGCTGGAGGGATGGCTTAGTGTTAAGAACACTAGTTCCAGAGAACCAAGGTTTGGTTCCCAGCATCCACGTGGCAGCTCACAACTACCTACAATTCTAGTTCCAGGGAATCTGACTCTTTCTTCTGGTCTCTCCAAGCCCTGGGCATGCACATGGTACACAGACACATATCAAACCACCCATAACACACAAAAATAAATAAATAAGAATTCTAAAAGGAGGACAGAAATACAACAATTCAGTGACATTGATTGCCAGTAAGTAACTCGAGCATTCACGTTATGGGACATGCATTTCACAGTTCTTGTTCAAGTCGCTCCTCAAGCCGAATTCAGCATTAAAGCAGAGCAGGCTTTCTTTACGCCTCAGCTAAAAGCTAGATTACAACTAGACAATCTGACTAACGTTTAAGAGAAAGTCATAGCAGCCATTAAGCAAGTCCTCTTCCCGGTGCCAGGAGAATAATCACCAGTGAACTGATGAGGCGAAGCCTCTTACACACGGTGGGGAAATTCAAACCTTGTTAAGAAGTTCAGTGGGTAACAGTCTGGACAGTGCTCAAATACACAAAAGGTCAGAGCTGTGGTGTGATTTGGGTTTAGGAAATCTGCCACTGGGGTGGAGGGGAAGCAATGCTGAAGACAACGCTAATGAGAGAAAGAGAAGACAGGCGACTTTAAACACAGCCTCTAATTCATGTACCAAGTCATCTTTCCAACAGAAGGGAGATGGCCAATATACATAGGAAGAAAGCAGAGGAAAGAGTCTGGAAGCTTCTCTTACCATTACTCACACTAAATATTTTCTTTTCTCCCTTCCTCTTCCTTCCTTTTCTCTCTTCCTCTTTTCAGTGCTAGGGACTCAACCCAGGTCCCTGCACCTGCTAAGCAAGCCCCATGCTGTTGACTTCATCTCCAGCCCGCACCAAGAAACCTCAGACTCGAATTCTTCCATCGCATTTTCAGTTTTATCAGCACTCCAGGGCTTGTCTACCTAGCTCGACGACTATTTTAAAACCCTTGTTTTTGCCCATTTTTGTTTCTCCTACTGATCTGGGAGATGACTTTGGTGGACATGCGGAAAGAAGTATCATTTGACCATCAGCACTGATGACGTATTATGGTGATAAACTACCCAACAGACTAAGATGCATGCTGATTAGCTTTTCAATTTGTAAAAGTTGGCGAGGCGGCAGAAGTAGGTGTCACCATCGCATTTTACGATCATTAGCAGCCATCCTGTGTCTGATCTTCTTCATCTACAAAATACTGGAATCAAGTTACAAGGCTCAGAGTCGTTTTAGCTTTTAAATTCTCATTTTCATTTTGCACTGTGGCACATATGAAATCATTTAGATCACGAAGGGATTTCTTTTCCATCACAAATGTGAAATCCTGTGATGGTTAAGTTAAATAATAGCTATGCTTAAAAATAATTAAGAAGTAGCTATAATTTTGGAGGATGGTGAAAGAACTTTAAATTTAAAAGTAGGTAAAAATAAGGAAACAGAGAAAAGTTAGAGGGGCAAAAAGAAAGCCAAGCACCTCAAAGTTTGCATTAGAATTCCTTGGGAAAAAATTGTGTACAATATAGAAATTCTGATTAATTTTAGATTTTTAGCAAATGTTTTACATTCTAGATTTTTTTGGTTTTGTTTGTAAAAATTCTGAAAAAACCTAAAAGCCCTTAAAACTATGACTGTCTTCTCCAAGATAGTGAACAAAATCCAAGTGATTTTCACAAATAAAAAGAGAATAGCTTCAAAAACTACAATGACAGCATTGAAGGACACTAAACATCAACATTTCTAAGTAGCTGGTAAATGTTCATTTTAAAGTCATATAAAGGAAATGGTTATTGAATGCCTCAGCTACCAATTTTGATACATTTACTATTGTTCCTTAGCTGCTTGATAGAAAATCAAAGTTTCCACATTTTAAATGAATTTATTTAGTCATGTAAAATTCCATGTTTACTTTTAATCAATCAAAAACTATTCTCTCTCAGGTAATTTTAAGTTGTTCTCTTGATCCCTGTGTGATGGCAGATGCCTGCTCCCTGCCTTCAGGCAATGCATTAAGTGGTCCCCTGAGTCTTTTGCTTAGACTCCCGGATTGCCCTGAGTTTGCTCTGCCCCAATAAGTCACATGGTGGCAACATTCCAGGACAGCAGACTTCTCTTTTGTTTAACCATTCTGCAATAGTTGAAGCATTCGAAACGATAAGTTACTGTGGAGCTTATGATCTAATGAATGTATTGTAGATATTTCATTTTAAAATAAAAGCTGATTTTAAATTCTTCAGACATTGCAATCAGGTGACTATTTTCATACAATTATGGAAATTTAAAATGCAAAGTTAATTGAAAGTCTAAAGATGAAAAGCAAGTGCTATGCTTAAAATAGAGTATGACAGTCATGTTTCGCTTAACTCTCAAGGCAGAACATAAATTAGGAATTCTAGATGTGACATGCCAAATATTTTAGACATGGAAGAATGCATACAACAGAATTGGTACTGATTACAAACTTCAACGCGCGACTTATAAGGCAACAAATTCATGCTCAAATGTTGACAACAAATAATGTGTCTCATATTTCAAGAAGTGATGCTGTATAGAAACCCCATCATTTCTGCACACAGTACTAAAATTCATAACAGCATTCCTAAGCTCTATGCTATACCCAGAGCCAAAACATCCATAAGGAGCAAAACAATGATGTCACTGTGCACCTAACCTAAGAAGGTATTTTTACTCATAACAATATTTAAAAGAAACAAGTATCACATGACATTCCATTAAAAACACATAGTCTAAAATTGAACTGCATAGGTATGTACAGTAAATCTGCCTTATTCTTTAAACGTTCCTCTATTTTTTAATAGGTGAGCAGTTTCTATGTATAATTGTGTTGAGAGGTAAGGAAAAACTGTAACGTCTACTGTTTTCCCTTACACTTTTGTTTTTCTGTCCTTTAAGATTATTACAATTCAACAGCATAAGAACAAGCAAAATGTCCCAAAACATACTAATGCGTGGATTTCTCCACAGTGAAATCTGAATCAATAAAATATAAGTTACATTTGTATGCGCTCAAATAAATTATAAAACATAAAGACAAAGAAGATGCTAAAACACCCTCTCTTTAAAAACCTAGTAAATATATTCACAGAACAGTGGTAAATAGAACAGAATATATTAGGTTTTTATTGAAGATTTGAAAACAATCACCTAAGTAAATAATTTCATTTCCTTTATGCAGAAACTGTGTGCAATAAGGTAATACACACAAGCCAGATCACCTCTTTCACACAGTTCTTTTCAATATCCATTCACATAGGCACACCTTTTCGATACTGATAATATAATTAGACTGTAATATCTAAATAAAGATCTTTTCTAAATGTGTTGCAAATTGGAAGTGATTTTCAGACCTATTCTCGAAAGCATTGTCACGTAGAACTCAAGACATCCCACTGCATATTTTATCTGTCAATTTACTTTCTCCCCTCACATGCATATGCCTTTTCCCACTCCCAAATTAGACTTTAAAATCCCTGAGGGCAGGACCTATCTATCTTTTTACTCCCTCTTGTACCCAATATTGTGGCAAGTGAGTTACGGGGTGCTCTGTGCCTATAAATGGATGAATGTATGACTAGGAATGGAAATATAGGCAAACCCCATAGTCATCAAGGCATTTGTGTCTTCTATCTCAACTTAAATCAAATGAAATGGATCTGGTAGCATATTGGCACACTGAAAAGTACACATCAAGTTGTATTTTTGTGGAAAACTTAGGTGTATCCTTTGGAACGTTACTCCCTGTGTTACACTTTGTAGAAGATCTAAACACTGTATAGTAAAAACCTTGCCCTACCTATAATAAAAGGACTGCACTATATTTGATCAAATGTTTGGCCTTGAAGGCATCCAGGTCAGGTGTGTTTACTGCCGGAAGCATCAAAGAACAGTCTGTGCTAGTGTGAAGCCTCACTCTTCACGATGCTGTCAGAGAACACTTCTGTTCTGAGAACATCGAGGCAGAAGCCTGTTCTGAGGAATGGGCTTTGGGAACACTGAAAGGCATCAAGCTAAATCCCCTTCACTAAAGCAGTACAGCACATTTGAATTAAATATCTGGTGTTCCGTTAAATATTTCTGACCTTGAAAAAGGAGGCTGGGGCAGAGCCTCCAAAACCCTTCATAAGGGTTCCTCTTAAAAGGCCAGAAATGTCTTCTCAGCCAGGGTAGTCCTCTCTGTACTAGTCAGTAGTTAGATTCTTCTGAAAGTGTTCTCTTAATTTTTCTTAAACTCTTTCCTGGTTTACCTTTCTGTCATTTTTCTTCCTAAATACACACCCTACGTCTTAAGACATGCATCTCTAGACTATGTACGTTTATAATTGGTCAATCTTTGGCAATGTTCAGAAAACATTTTCTCATTAATGACTGGGATAACAATGACATTTTATGAGGAAATGCTAGTAGATTGGTTCTGAGATACTAGCAAATCCATTATGCTCTTACAAAACACTCAGTACGCTCTCTACATGACTAAATTAAAACTATCATAACTGAAGATGCCCCCTCTTAGGAAGAAAAGTACTATGGGAAATCGAAGGAAACATGGCAGGCCAGCTGACTTCACAGTGTTTATTATCACAGGGTTTGCCGTCATCTCTGGCATGAGCTCTGTGACTCTGAAACATTTCACAGTGTTCAAGACATCGGAGACTTCTTTTATGTATCAGAAGCAATGGTTCGGGTGGCTTTCTAACTCCTTAGGGGCTGTTGTAGAGGTGAAGATGAGAGTGGCAAGCAGGGAGAGAGAGAGCGAGTACGGAGAGCATGACCTTGCTCTCATAACCTGCTGAGGGCCTCCACCGTTCAGCCTTTAGATACCAAAATGCTGAGCAATAGTAACTTTTCAAGGGTCCAGATAATTTCTAAAGTTCTATTTCACTATCATGTGCCTTAGTTCACATTTTTAATATGTTTTCATCTCATTTGTGTGTGCTCTTGGTTCAAGTAAAACAAAAGTTGTTTTATTTTCACTGCTTTATGTAGCTTATTTTATATTCATAACATCTTCCTCCTTAAATAAAAAAAAATGAGTGTGTCACCTTTAAAAATAAAACAAATGACAGCATGAAGATTGGAAAAGTCGAGACCTGCCCAAGCTTAACTTTAGAGTTGTCTTTTGATGCCGCCTTTGGGACACTTAAACACTGTCGTGAGTCGTCATTGAGGTAGAACTGAAACACAACACGGCAAAAAAGAAGCAAGAACGTTCACACAAGGCCTGAGACACAAACGGAAGCCGCGACCAGTGTCCTTTCGCCTGGACGTGCTGTCAAGCTTTGCAGTCTTCCTTGACACACAGCTGAGAAATGGTCTTCTTCACGCGTAGGGCTGTCAGGCGGGCCGCCCCGTTGGCGTACCAGCACTCCCGCATGATTCTCCCCATAACCCGGAGCGCCTTCGGGAGAGAAAGACCACAGGGTTAATGGTGCACACAACAGAGTAGAAATGAAGTGAAATCACAAATCAGGGGTGACAGAGGACCCTGGGTCAGCTTCTGTAAAATCTTCTCAAGAGACACAAACAAAAATTAACATTTTGAATTAATTGTTGATTCTGATAATGAATGATATCAGAATGATAATGATAATCATTATGATGGCTATTTTCAAACTCCTCTAAGAAAGGCAATGATAGTTGAGCACTATGTTACAAGTCCGTGGTCCCAGTACTTGTAGGCGAAGGCAGAAGCAGTAGGAATTCAAGGCTACGCCAGCTACCGGAGACCCTGCCTCGAACCAAACAGCTAGAAAGTGGCATGAGGCATGGAGGAACATGGCAATGGTATGAAATCCCAGCTACAGTTCTTCATATGTGCAAGCACATGAAAAAATTCATCAAGCTGAAAACTAAGATTTATACTTTTATTGTTCATAATTGCATGTTGCAAATGCTGATCTGAGAATAAATATAAATATTTTGCAGAATAGCCAAAGCAAGAAGGCAGATACTGTGGTGATTTGAATAGGAATACCTTATAGACTCATGCATTTGAATGCTTAGTTAATAGTGAGTGGGACTATTAGGAGGTGTTGCTTTGTTGGAGTAGGTGAGACCTTGTCAGAAGAAGTGTGTCACTGTGGGGGCGGGCTTTGAGGCTTCATCTATGCTCAAGCTACTCCTAGTGTGGAAGACAGTTCTCTTCCTGTTGCCTGAAGATTGAGTTCCTTCTCCAGCACCCTGTCTGCACTCTACCATGTCCCACCATGTTGATAGTGGACTAAACCTCTGAAACTGTAAGCTAGCTCCAATTATTTTCCTTTATAAGAATTGCCCTCCAACAACCGAAACCCTAATAAGGCAGTACGTAGAGGAGAAATCAGTATAACGCATGAAACATAAGGGACCCAGGGAGTCACTGAAGCTGGGAGAGCTCCACTGGTGTATGCTCATCTTTTGTTCGAGAAAATCAGAGATGAAGACCACATGCAAGAGGAAGGAAAGTCAGCCTAAAGCAAAGAGAAGGTTTAACGATGCTTTTAAAAGGACATGAATGTGAACATGAACCCTAAACTGTCAAGATGGTTCAGTAGGTAAAGACACTTTCTACTGAGCCTGGCAACCCGAGTTTGATCTTGAGACCCACATGGTGGAAAGAGAAAACTGATTCCTACAGGTTGTCCTTTGGCTTCCAGTGAGTGTATCCTGGTACACACATGTATTCCCATTTACATATAAGAAGATAAACGTAATAAAAATAAATGTATGTAGATGAATCTTCTCCCAAAAGGAAGTTTGTAAGGAAAACCACTTATTTTGACTTTGGGTGAAGGAAAAAAATTCTACCCAAGTTTTTCAGTAAATCCGATCTCATAATGGAATTCTACACTCAGAGAGGGGGAGGGGGAACAATAAGCAAGAACCAATCACAACAATACCTAGCAGAATCAGATCCATGAAATATCAGCTATTAAAATTCAAGGATAAGAAACATGCATTAAAAGAGAAGTAAAACCTGAACAACCCATGGGGGTAAAAACAGTACTTTCAGGACCAGTAAAAGTTCTTGGTATGAAAATAAAGAATCCAGTGAATAAGTTAAATGGCAAATTAGACATATCTGAGGCAGAAGTATAGAAGCAGAAAAGAAACCTAGGGGATCTACAGGTGCCAATATAGGAAATACCCATGAAGCAAAACAGAACCAGAAAGGTTTAATAGCAGCCAAAGAGATTTCTGAAAATAAAAATGGAGATAGAAAGGCAAGAGTTATCAGAAGACATATTATCACAGAACTTTCTAGAACAGAGGAATGTCACAAATCCTTAGAATTAGAACACTCTTTTTTTCCAAACAAGTTTAACTACAAAACTGAGTCAGGGGACTCATGCTGTGATGCCAGCAATGGGACGCTACGGCAGGAAGTTTCCTACAAGTTTTGGATGCATAGGGAGAGCTTCCTTCATAAAACCTTAAGTACCTACAAACAAAAAGGCTGACCACAGTGAAATTGCAGAGTACTAAAGGCAGATTCTTCTTCTTCTTCTTCTTCTTTTTTTAGATTTATTTATTTATTGATTATATACACAGTATTCAGCTTCCACACCTGCAGAAGAGAGCACCAGATCTCATTACAGGTGGTTGTGAGCTACCATGTGGTTGCTGGGAATTGAACTCAGGACCTCCGGAAGAACAGTCAGTGCTCTTAACCTCTGAGCCGTCTCTCCAGAGATGTTCTTAAAAGCAGTTAGAAGGACTTGAGAGAAGGCGCAGCTGTTCAATGCACTCTTCTCTTGCACAGGACCTGAGTTTAATTCCAAGCACCTACAAGGTAATTCACAGCCATCCATGGCTTCAGTTGCAAGAACCCAAAGCCCTGTTCTGATGTCCCTGGTCACCAGTCATGCACATGGTATGCATACAAACATACAGGCCAAATATTCATTTGCATAAAAATAGTAAGTAGACAAGGCATTAAGAGGCAAATGTTTATCAAAATCAAAGTCCATCTTTATTTAATCTTTAAAAATGTGTGTAATGGTTGTCACACTGAACAGTGAAAAGCAAGTTTTAAGGAGCAAAAAGTTGCCCCCCACCAATTCCAGGTAACATTATGCCAGAGATCCCAGAACCACAGTAAGAAAGTATGAGCAGGTTGCTTGCCTGTCTAAGTGGATACCTCAAAAGAATTAATAGGTGTATAGCTTCCAAAATTTTTGAAAATATATGTTTATATACTATGGTAGATAACTCTTTTTAGATGTTTTAAGTGTGTGTGTGTGTGTGTGTGTGTGTGTGTGTGTGTGTGTGAGAGAGAGAGAGAGAGAGAGAGAGAGAGAGAGAGAGAGGAAGAGAGAGAGAGAGAGAGAGAAAGAGAGAGAGAGAGAGAGAGAAGCATCAGATCCCCTTGAACAGGAGTTACAGACAGTTGTGAGCCACTACATAATTGCTGAGAACCGCATTCTGGTTCTATATGGAAACAGCAGGTGGTCTAACCACTGAGCAGTCTCTCCAGTCCCTGTAGTAGATAGACTGTCAATTGGGAGGAATTTAGAATCACCGTGGTAACACATTTTTGGGTCTATCGATGAGGTTATTTCCAAGAACAGTTTTAGAGAAAGGGGAGGATCTACCTTAAATGTAGGTGGCACATTCCATGGGCACACGTCCTGGGCTGAGTGATAAAGATCAAGCTGAGCATCTCCATTCTCCTGTGTGCTTCCTGATGCTGGACACACCATGTAGTGGTTTGAATGAGAATGGCTCCCATAGACTCTTATGGTTGAATGCTTACCCACAGTTAATGGAACTGTTTGGGAACATTAGGAGGTGTGGCCTTCTTGAAGGAGGTGTGTCACCAGGAGTGGGCCTTGAAGTTTTAAAAGCTCCCACGATCCTTGACTACCCCCACCTCTGCCTCATGCTGAGGGATAAGACGTAAGCTCTCAGCGGCTGCTCCAGCCCCATGCCTGCCTGCCAGTAGCCATGTGTCTCATCATGACAGTCATGGACTCTAATCCTCTGGGCCATGAGACCCCAATCAAATGCTTTCTCTTTCTATGTTGCCTTGGTCCGGGTGTCTCTTTACAGCAATAGGAATGTAACTAAGACACATGTGACCAACTGCCTCATTCATGCCTTTTCTGCCATGATAACACCTTCAAACTTGAGCTACAACTAACCAGTCCTTCTTTAAGTTCTTTTTGCCAAGTATTCTGTCAAAGAAACAGCAAAATTCACTAATACATATAGCCACATTACATTTAATAATGCTAACTAGAAATCACATGTGATAACCAATACTAGAGTAGACAAATTCTAGTATATCCACAAGGAAGAAAGCTACAGAGCAATGCAAATGGACAGATTTTTCAAACATACATACGTATGGTGAAAAAATTAAAAATAATTTTTGTAATAAGTTTTACTCATAATTTTCATCAATACACAAATGCAAATATTTTTCAAGATATGCACAAATATATGGCAAAAATCTAAATAAAGTCAGGGAACAATAAGAAATCGTTAATATTAATATTAACCACTCAGCAAGGCAGAAAGTTCCTCAAAGATTTCGGAATGCTCCACTTTTCAAATTGTATATTTACAGCTTTTAATTTGATTATTTAAAATATTTTAAGATATTTTAAACTTTCCCAGTTTATATACCTGTGTAGTTAAAACTAGTAATAGCCAGGTGTGGTGGTGCATGCCTTTTTTAAATTCTTTCAGTTATGTTACACAAGACTCAAAGCCTGATCCTCAAATAAACAGAGATGAAATAACTACACAAACGATAAAAGTGGTAAGACTTTGCCTTAAACGAAAGAGCTAAAATCACGGGGGAAGGAAACAGATGGGGTAAAAAGGCGACTACATAAAATAATCCTATAACAAAATAAATAGGGACAGTGTCACATAAAATGGTTGTATTTATTACCAAAATAAAGCTGTAAATAAACAGTAGTGATTGGAAGGGGAGATTGAAACACATAATCGGGGGAGAAGGCTGCCTTTCCTCCCTCTGTCAGAACTTATGGAAGGCAGAATGACCACTGTGTACCGTGTGTCCACCTTGCTTGGGTTACAGTCCTGCATTGCTTATGCTGACAAGACAGCTAACAGCTGGATCTAAGGCAAGGCATCTTTTCTGATGAGGAAGGCTAAGCTTCAGGCAACTCGAGATTAGGCACAAATTGTTGATTACTATACTAATGAGCCAATGATTTTGCCCATGTCCTTCAGTTCCCTGCTCCCTTGCAGTGTGGTGGCAACCGTGTATCCCTTGTGACAAGCACTGAAAAGTCAGTGTGTGCACCCCTGTTTCCTCTCTCTGATAAACACAGAGACCTGGAAACAGCACGGGGATGGCAGCAGCAAGGACCAGTGCGAATGAATGGCTACTGAGCCACCTCGGTGAGGACGGATGTCACAGACTATATCACTTAAGCCCCAGAGGACTTCAGAGAGTCACTGTTGTCAGAAGCCACCAGGGCTTCAGGGGTTCATGTCAAGGATGCATCCCACTTAAGGGGATAAAACCCTCTAAAGACATTTAAAAAAAAAAAGGCATCCCTCCATATATGGAATGAACTGCGTACTCTGGAAATCCTCACTGATACTACTCTGAAGAGTAAAACAGAAGGAAATCAGAAGAACACAGCTTGTATTAATCTCCAGTGGATGAAGAGGAGGACAGCAAGAAGGAGGAAGCTGGGGAGGGAAGAAGAGGAGGGAGGGGGAGGATGCAGGAGGGGGAACGTAAGAGTCTTACTTCACAACTTTGCCACTGGTTTGGGATATTTGGTCGGAACTTCTGGTCACAAACCACCTTCCTCATGTCTTCTATCGAAGGATCTGAAGGCACCATGTCATAATAAGGCAACTGGTACTCCTCAACCATTCCTGGAAGAAATTCGCAGGGTAAATTCTCCTGCATACACAATCAATAATGATGTGTATTTCAAACTAGTATGCTTAGTTCTGCCAGGCATGCATGATAGCCTAGAAAAGTGTAATCTCACTTTTGTTAAAATAGTATATCACTATTAGGCAGGATTCAGTTCAAATCACTCAGCTAAATATTCATGTAAAGTTATGACACTTTATAATATAAAAATAAATAGAATAAAATGTAAGTTGATATCGTTATCATATGTAATACATAAAATCCTGCATAAATGTATATAATTTTATAACAATACAAAATAAAGCAAATATGCCTCCAATAAAAACAACGTAACTTTTATTTTCATATATTATCATTATATGGTTCAAAAATAATCCAAAATAATCATATTTATAAAATATCATCATTGTACTGTAAATAAGTATATTTCTCTATCAAAGCAGTATGGGGCGGGAGGTTGAAGCTTTTAGATAATTGACTTAGCCAGTGAGACACTGCTTCCAAGTCTGACACAGTGATCCAGTCTCCAGATCCCACAGGGAAGAAAGAAAATTCAGTCTCACGAGCTGTCCTTGACCTGCACATGAACTCTGTGCCATAGCACATGGGAATGCACACATGTGCATATGCATACACACACATGCACACACACACACACACACACACACACACACACACACACACTGCTAAACCAAGGCTCGTCCTAAGTGTGTCTCACAAGAGAATACTCAGTAAGCTGCTTTCTATGAGCATTTAACTTCTCTATTGATGCAGCAAGTTCATTAGACTGCATTAGCAGGGGTTCCCATACCAACTTCTAAACTCGGGAGCAGTAGAGGACAGGAGATGACTGTCGCTCACTTCCCCACTGCACTTTATCCGTCCCTGCATTGACATCACCAGAGGGAAAAGAGGAGAAGCCTGTGGACGGAAGGCTGGCCATCCTCCACCTCGGTGAGCCACTTAGCTCCTTTGGGACAAGCGTAGGGATACCAGCTGCTGCAAACTCCAACCAGATCATTTTTGAGTGATTGGAAATAATCATGACAGGCATCAGAATGAATAGCATTGTCACCTGCATCTAAGGAGAATCCAAAAGATAAACCCGCCATTCTCCACAAGGGGCTCCACGTTTGCCCCTGCAAAGAAATCACTGAAAAGACTTCTCCTCACTATTCAGAAACTATCCAGTATACTATTGGGAAAATACAGAAAATCACATCTTGTCTCCAGTGTCAAGGAAAGGGGATCAAAAGGATAGTTTCCAAAATCTTACCTCCAATCGAACACCTTCGAGCTATTTCCCAATAAACCAGCCCCACGGAATAGATGTCAGCTCGCTTGAAGGACTCAAAGATGCTCACATTCATTGTATCATCGAGCATTTCAGGAGCCATATACCTTAAAAATGCGCACACTGAGATTCGGCCCAGTAAACCACAATCTTAATGCATCGCGATACAAACATAAATTAAGATCGCTCACATCAGTGTCAAAGGTCCATGTCAGATACCGAAATAGGGGGGACATTAAAAAACATAGTTAGTGACTCAATCGTCATTGTAATACATTTTAAATGAAACTAAAGGTCACACAGCTTTACATTATAGCAGGATCATTAGTAAAAGGCCTAGTACTTGGGAAGAATGAATTGGGAAGGCCAATGAGCAAAGCACACCACAACAGAAACAGAGCTCAGCATCCCAAGAATTGGTCATCACAGACAGCTCCTGTCTGACAGGGATGGGATTCACTCACCAGAGGGGGCTCAACCTCCAACACCAGGAAGGCTAGATGGTATTCCACAGATACCTTCTCAGAATGAAAAATTTTACTCTCTACCTTGCCAAGAATAGTATGGCCTTGTTCAAACAAAACTTAATGGTAGAAGTCCTGGAGTCACAAGACCTGACTGAGCCTAACGGACCCATAGAGTTGAGCGTTTTCCTGGAATATATTCTCTTGAGTTCTTTTCAAAGTGTTCTCCCCCTCTCCACCCCTGAAAGGAAATCAGCACCCAAGCAGTCCCTGAGGGGCCCCGATTCAGCAATGGTAGGGTGTGTGTTACTGAGAAAAGAAGAGGGATCGGTTAAGACCAGGCATTCTCAACATGCCTCCTTGGAACGCCTATGACATCCGTAATGTCAACCAGCAGACAGTAGACGGCTTGCGGGCACTGTCCTGAAATCTCAGCTGGCTTGAAGGCCAGCTCTACCTCCTGAGAAATTCGCTACTCTCCAGTGCTTTAACAAGTTCAGAGAAATGCTTTGACTCTTGTGATTTCCAGGCCAAGAGCTCTGGAATTATGAAAAAGTAGCTTGAAGTGTGGAACCCAGCCAGGTAAAGGAGCTGAAAGAAGACTAGCTGAGGAGCCACCTGCTGGTCAAAACAAGGAACACAGCAGAAGTTTAACGACTGCCAAGCCTGTGGCAGCCACAGCTGTGTGTGCTCCGTTCCCTTCATGCTTCCTCCTAGCTTTGTTATATTCCGTTCCTTGAAAGTGGAAACGGTGTTCAAATGCATATTATCTCAAAGTACATCATTCTGGGACACTAAAGGCAAGTCCAGCTACAGGTAAGATATAAATTGTACACTGTATCTTTGTGTGTTGAGGGAATTGACTGTCACACACGTGGTTTTATTATCTATGCCCCTAACCCATCTCCTCCAATGCCCTGGTTTTGCATGTGGTCTTTAAAACCTGAACCTGTACAGCAAGCCCTGACTTGTAGCTCAGGGTACCCAAGACCAAGTTCTTAGCACAAAGGAGATTTGTTTGTCCCAGAGGGAAAAAGAGACAAAGACAGGAGATAGATGGCAATGGAGAAAGAGAAGGGGACAAGGGAAAAGGGGCAGGCATATTTTTCGTGGGGGACAACAGATATGGTTACTAGAAAAAATATGGTTTATAATGGTAAAAGGGGAAACCTCATGTTAGGAGAAGGCATTTAGTTTTAATTGGGTATGTTAGGTGAGCCAAAAGGGCTTTTGACAGCTAGACTCCAATACTTTGATAGCTGGATCTTGGTAGTCAGCCTCAGGAGGAGAAAGTAGCCAAATAAGGGAATAGACCTTGACGACTAGATTTAAGAATGTAATCTGGGATTTTAGCAAGGCAGAGGGAAAGGGGAGAAGTTCAAGGCCTGCCAGAGCCATTTGCCACGCATGAGCTGGCTAGCGTCCATTCAGTCCCTATATACTACTGAGGTGGTTTCTCTTCTGCAGGAAAGACATCTGGAAAACTTGTCACATAAACATGGCAGGCTGTCATCTTCGCCACCACTACCCACTCTAGACTCTAAACTCAAATGGCTGCTTCGTCAGGACAAGGAGTCAACTTTCCAACTTTGAAGTCATTATGGCTTCTCAGTGTCTCTGAAAAGACTTCTTGCTTTTGCGAGGTCTCGCGTTTTTCACATTTGGACACACATCACGGGCAGTCCCCATATTTAATCAATCATATATGCTTTAGTGAGCGACCAACGAAAGTCATCTTACCTCTTTGTTCCCACTTTGGGATTCTGCGGTATGTCTATAGTGTTCATGACGGAGTCGTGCTTCACAGCCAGCCCTAAGTCAGCGATGGCACAAGTGTCACATTTTTTCACCAAGATATTCTTCGACTTTATATCTCGGTGAGCAATAGCAGGCTTACCTACAAAACGTGAGAAAAGTGTACTCATTTGTTCCCCTACTGAAGACAGAGTCTCTTGAAGCAAATCACTTAGAACACTTAGCTCGAATATCGCCCCTTTAGACACATCTTCCCTGACCGCACCCCGAGTCCAGCAGTGCGACAGGGGCTTTGGAGAGGCATTCAGCCTCCTAGCCAAACTCCAAGCTAAGCGAGGGCCGTCTCTGGCTTTACACTCAAGCAGTTCCAGTGTGTGGAGCACCAGGTGACTGTTGTGGGCATTAATAACCAGGTTTTCAATAAATGAGTTTAGGTTGCTACTACTTGTGATCCACAATATGGCAAATATTTTTTAATAACATAAATCTCAAAATTTTACTACTCTAGACTAGCAATTCCCCAAATGAGAACAGAGGATTCACGAGGGTCCTTAAAACGACTATATATCTACCTGCCTGACTCATACCACCGTTTCTCCCCTGACTTCAACTAAACCATATAACAGAATGAGTAGGATAAAGAGCATGTGTGAAATAAGCTAGTTATTGAGATTATTTTTAAAATTGTAGAACATTTTCACTCCATTGCCTTATTTAAGAAGTTGTAAAACACTTGGAAGCTGTTAGTCATATTAATATTTAACTTTCTAATTACAGCTCTTGAAATAAACAAGATTTTAATTTATCAGTAAAGTTTTTAGTATGGAATGTATTAATAAATACAACCTACATTTACCAAAACTTTGGGGAGCTCAAAGACCTTTAAGAATGTAAAGGGGTCGTGAATCTAGTGCCCTATTTAGACTAACCATTTTTGAGAGTCACTTTCTGTAGGCTTAGTAAATTAACAAAGCAAAGAATATTATTTGGATTTCAAGTATGATATTCAAATACTCTTTTATCTTTTTGAAGCAGTTCCAGTCTAATATGGAGTTCACATGTAACCCAGGACTGCCTCAAACTCATGGGTATCTTCTGTCTCAGCTTCCCACACCTACTTTCTGTGGAGAGCCGCAACCACATTCTCCATTACTTTAAGGGGCAGAGGCATATTGACCTCTGTGACTTCAAGGGACAGAGGTAGAGATTGACCTCTGTGACCTCAAGGTGTGGTAGTACATGCCTTTAATCCCAATGCCTGGGAGGCAGAGGCAGATTGACCTCTGTGACCTCAAGGTGTGGTAGTACACGCCTTTAATCCCAATGCCTGGGAGGCAGAGACAGATAGATCTCTGTGAGTTCAAGGTGTTGTAGCACAGGCCTTTAATCCCAGCATTGGGGAGGCAGAGACAGTGGGACTATAATGCACATATGCTTGGTAACTTTCCACTGCTGCGTCCCCGCCTACTCCCGAGGCGTTATCTGGGTTGATGGGCAGCGGACCAATCCAAGAGTGACACGTCCGAAGAGAGGACTGTTTCCTATATAAGGGATGGGTTCCCCTCATTCTGGGTCTCCGCTTTGGAAGCTTATGCTCTCTCTCTCTCAAGACGCATTAAAGCTTTTCTGCAGAAGGATCCTAAGTGTTCCACGTCGTTCTTGCTGGCGAGACGGTAGCGCGGGACAGCTTTCAAATATTCTTTCATGGTCATGTTTTCATTCCCAATCACATTTTAATTATCAAAAGCAAGGATTTATATGACTGTGTAGCCTTTGCCACCAAAATAAGACTCCTAATGGCATGGGTAGAACCACTGGGGATAAAAATACATCATGAATAACGTGTGTGGTGCTGAGGATGAGAAAGTTATTTGCTGCATGACAAGAACCTCACTGGTATGACGTACCTTCACTGTTTCTCTGGGTTTGACGATTGCGAAGAACTGAAATACAGTCAATAGAAAGACCAGTTTTCTGAAAGGAGATGCCTACCTTGGGTACCAACGATCTCCATATGTAGATGAGCCAGACCACTGGCTATTGAAAGGGCCAGCTTGATCATTCCAGCCACGGTCACTATGTTTCTATTCAAATAGTCATATAAGGAGCCCTGTTCGTGATACTCTGATACAAGCCAAAGTTGAGTCCAAGTTCCATTATCTAACGAGAAAACAACGTTTAAAGTCACAAATATTGGGAAAGCATGCGGACAGTTTTAAAAACAACAGTCATCTGTACCATTTATGAAACAAAGTTAATTCTTCTAGCTGGGAAGCTGTGGTTAGGGAAGTATCAAGTTCTCAATGAGTTATTGAAGATATCGGGTATGGAGGAAGCTTCCATGGAAACAGAAAGATGTAGAAGGTGGTTCTAACAAGGGAGCAACTCTTTGCCTGCTTACTTTCCTCAATAGTTGCTGGTAACAGCTACCATCATGTATGGGAAACTTGGAAAAAATGCATCATGGGAGATACTTCTGAGAGGCACATCTGGCCTCTGCCTTATCCTTTACTCTTAAGCTTTTAAGAAATATTAAATCAATAAAAACAAGAAATATAACAAATTTACACCAACCACTATTATCACCACCAGAGTGCTGATAGTCTAACAATGTTCATGATTTTTTTCCTTTAAAAATAGGAAATTCTGTACTTCAAACAGTTGTATAATGAGCTGCGCTCTGTGATACGTTTGCTAGACATTCTCAGACAGCATTCCCATTTAAACAAAAAAATCAACCCAGCATTTTTTTTAAAAGACTTTTAACGGGTGAGAAATTAGCCTGATGCTTCTCTAAAAGCGGCACTTCAACAGTTACTTGTAGCTTTCTTTTTCCTGTTTATTTCTTTCTTTCTTTTTTTTTTTTTTTTTTGTTCTTGGAGACAGGATATCTTTGTATTTTTTTTGGAGCCTGTCCTAGAACTAGCTCTTGTAGATCAGGCTGGCCTTGAACTCACAGTGATCTGCCTGCCTCTGCCTCCCGAGTGCTAGGATTAAAGGCGTGCGCCACCACCGACCAGCTACTTATAGCTTTCTAAACAAAGTGTCTCCAACAATATGGGCTGCTCTGGCCACTTCTGAGACTCAGATGGACTCTACGGTGAGCATTTGCTTAGAGGCTTTCCTGCCCATGTTCAGGAACGGAATGGTATCCATCTATTTCATTTCCACAACCAGGAGTAACGAAGCTTCGTGACACGCAAAAGGCATTCTACTCTAAAGTTCACTAAGAACCCACCATCCATCAACCTCACCCTCAGACTCTCCCTGCTAACACCTGCACCGAACTATACTCTCAGACACTCGGCTACAATGTACTGTAAATGTTGCATGAATAAAGAATGTGTGAAGATGAAAGTGATATTAGAGATCATTTGGTATCTGAACAAAGTGACTGATAAGGAAGGATATGAAGTCAGGTGAACAGAAGGAAACAGGGGCTGGAGAGATGGCTCGGCTATTAAGAGCTCTGGATGCTCTTGCAGAAAACCTAGGTTCAATTCCCAGCATCCACGAGGCAGCTCACAACTGTCTGTAGCTCCAGTTCCAGGTAATCTGACACCATCACACAGACATACATGCAGGTAAAACACCAATGCACATAAAATAAAATTATATTAAAAAAAAAACCAGAAGGGAACAAAGATGAAAGATCACCTCTTTGGGGGCAGATTTGTCTGTAAGGCAGGAAGCACTATGATTAAACTAGTTTATCATTATAAGTTAGGTGACTAGTCACTATTGTGCTGATTAATTTTACAAGGAAATAACTCAGCAGGGGAGAAGTGGTTCTTAACCTTGGGACAGTAACTCTATTTTCAAAATTCTGGACATAGTGTAAATGTATATATATGTCCTTAGGAACTTGGGAAGCAGAGTTGGAGAGATGGCTTAACAGTTAAGAGCACTGACTGCTCTTCCAGAGAAACCGGGTTTGATTTCCAGCCTCCACATGGTGGCTCAAAATAATCTGTAATTCCAGTTCCAGGGGATCCAATGCCCACCCTCTTCTTTCTTTGCTGGGCACAGGCATACATGCAGGGAAACTACCCCAACATATGAAATAATAATTATAATAATAATTAGTAGTAGAGGTGGTGGTGGTAGTAGTATCTCAATTTTATTCTCCTTCCTTACAAACCATAACTAAGAAACATAATTCTGGTCAAAATGTGCAACGAATGCTAACTTCTCTTTTGTCATCTAGTTACTCATAAATAAAATCATGATCATGCTTCTATTAGACAAAACTATTTTTTAATTTCCCAGGCAATAGTAGATAAGTAAAATGTAAAATTCATAGATAATTTAGTTTAACCTTTTTGTTTGTTGATGGGATTGTAACTGTGGCTCCATCAAAGTTCTTCAAAGATACTGAGACTATTAAAGGTCTAATTTCTAACCTGACTGGGTTGCATTTTCTCGCTCCTTTCTGCAAAGCCAGAACTCTGTTGGAAGAAGCAAGCAAACAAAGAAACCCACTAACTACATGGTTTCCCTGCAGTGCATGGGACGGCATTTTAAGAGTTCTGACTTTAAACACCAGATAGATGATCTTTTTTGTTCCAGGACATGAAAACAATCAACAACGAATGACTCACCTGTCAGAGTTGAGCTTCAAATTCTGAGACATGTTCGAGTTAACAATGATAGAAAACTCCGCTAATAATTACACTCTTGTCTCAGTCTCAGTCTAGAGGGGACACGGCTGAAAACTGTTCTCTTGCACACAAATCTTGTGATATAGATTCCATCCCGGTTGATAAACAGCGGGCACTCAAAATTCCAAAATTGTCCCGCTGCCAGTACACTCGATGCCCCCCCACCCCCACCGCAGTCCAAAATGCCTCTAGATATTTCCATAACTCAGGGTGACTCAAGACAGGAAAACCAGGCTAATGGGTTTTCTGAGAACTGGCTCCAGAGGCAGATGGCTGATTCCTGCCCAGGACCAGTTACCTAATATCTTAAACACCAGCTTCACTGCATTGTCACGACTCCACACTAGCTATTCACTGCTACAGCTCACTGCTGAGTTATGGGCATTTACTTGTGGGAGGGAAAAAGGAATTTTCTTAATAAAGAAGCTAGAACATTATGCGTCTTCTTGAGACAAAGTGACGAGTCCCATCTGTCTTACAAGCAATCTCACATATTTCTTACCGACCACGGTGACAGTGACCTTACCTTTGTTGTCAGCGGCAATGAAGCCAAGGATGTTCTCATGTCTCAACATCACTGTCTGATAAATTTCTGCCTCACGAAACCAAGATCTTTCGTCTCTAGAGGAGAATATTTTCACAGCCACGTCTTCCCCACACCATCTTCCATGCCACACTTCCCCGAATCGACCTTTTCCTACGATTTCTTGAAGAACAATAGTCCTCGCAATTGTTCTTTGAACCAAAAGAGGCAGACCTAGTCAAAGGAGAGGCAGACAGAACTTTCAAAACAGCAGTCACAACCATGACGCTGTTGCATAAAAAGCAAACACTTACGCACGTTAGTAACTTTACCAAGGTTGAAGAAATAAGCACCATTCCAACAAGCTGTAAGGCCAAGGCATGACCTAGAAAATGTCCTAAATTATTAATTTCTCTTCTCTCATGAACTAGCAATGCTTTCTGAACACAGCCTGATGCTACAGATATCTGATTCCTAAGAACTGTGGCAAATCCCCTGGATTCCCCCTAAAGCCATTCCAATTCCTAAGGACTCCAAGCAAAGCATGCATGGTTAACATTTAAAATAAAATGCAGAGCTCCTGGGTACCACTGTGAAAGGAAAAGAATTAATTCTCCGTGGATTTTCTGCAAAACAAAATTAAAATGTGCGTGTCGGGAATCAAATCCAATGACTGATAAGATAAACATGTTATTCTAAGAATGCATATTTGTGAAATAAAAACATGTTCTGTGGATCTGTAGAATGCTCATATTTTTTTGTGGTTATTTGGAAATAGGGTCTTGCTATGCATCCTTGGCTGTCCTGGAACTCACTATACAAACCAAGCTAGCTTTAAACGCACAGAGCCCTGCCTGCCTCTGTCTCTCACGTGCTGGCACTAAAGATACATACCACCATGCCCACACAGGTTGTACTTTTTAAAACAGTAACTTTACTTCTAAAATTCTATCCTACAGAACTAAGTCAAAATGTAGGGGTCTGGATAAAGATGTTGAATACATTGTTGCTAGTAATAGTAAACAAAACTGAACCCTTTCAAGTAAGAAGTCAATTGTGAAATATGGTGCAGACACACAAGCACAGATAAGTAAAGGCCTGGGTCCTGGCTTCAGCTACAGCATCTAGTCAACATTGTCAGATTATCTAACTTCCATGAACTTTCGCACGCTCCTCTGCAAAACTGGACAGTGGGAGAGTTAATAAGCAGTTTGAGCCGCTAGCACTGTACCTGGCCTAACGCATGATCAATAACGGGTACCCTCAATCTTACAGCAACATCTGCATGAACCCTGTAAGATTGACCCTAATGGTGCTGCCAATAGAGCTTATTCCACTGGAGACTACTCTGCTACAACGGCAAATGAAAACGGCAGAGTAAATTTTGCCTATATGAGTTTGCAGCCTTTCAAGCTGTGCATAGAGGAAAGACTGAACTGCATGGTGGAATCTCAGTGAATTAGAATAATAGTCTTCCTTCTCATCTGCTGCATTTTCAACATAAGGCCCAGGAGAAGGTTTTATTATTCCTGGAATTGTTGTTGTTAGAAAGCAAATAGTTGAAGTGGCTACAGGATGCATATATTCTAGAAAGTCAGTTTGGTTACTGTCACTGTCCTCAGGCAGCGAGAGAAAGCAATGCCCATGTGGCTCCTTGGGGGCATTGTCCCCTGATCCAAGAATGAGCCAGTGTTTACACAGATGTTCTCCTCTCCAGGAGAACCACCCACGATGGTAAACAGGCACAGACTATAAATTCACTGGTACGAGCCTCAACAATTAGTCAGCAAGCCCCACGGTCCGAAAGTTCTTTGGGAACCATCTGGTTCAGCCTCGTCATTTATCGATGAGAAAATGGGAGCCTGACAAGTCATCCGATTTGAAGAAAGTCCGCTGCTGCGGGAGGCTGACCCAGAGTGCTTTGCGCCCCATAGGAGGACAGACCCATGTTTCTCTCTGTGGAAAGGAAGATATCCAGTAACAAATAGCCAGGGTTATTTTTGTAGGCTTCACTCAATGTTTTTGGCCCAAAGTGGCACTAACAATTATTAAGTCAAATCTCAGCATATCTCCCTCCCAACATTATCACCCACCGACAGAAAAAGAAAGAAGCCGATAAGACAGTGTTTCCACACGGCAGTTGATGCAACAGCCAATTGGTGGATAAAGAACATCGCATCCTGTAAGGGGACCAGCGGGGTGAGCCGGGTGAGACGCTGCTTTGGCTGCCTCAAAACCTTCCAAAGCGAATAATGAGATGAACCTGAGTAGTTTTTGTGCTACACAGTTTCAGACTGCATTTGAAAAGAAACTTTGTCTCTTGCCATGAGTTCATTTTAATCTTTTCACCAGGGATTATAGAACCTGATGTCTGGTTTGTGTCACCATCTGTCAGAACGTTATACTGTAAGACAAAGAAGCTGGCTTCCTACTTCCGTCAAAGCCGCCTGAGACAAAGCCCACTCTCAGGCACAGTCCAATAAAACACCATTTATTTTCACTTTGTAGTCTCTCTAACTCTTTGAAATTTGTCCCTGACCTGGTCAGGGATAAGCTTCGTAATCAGGGTTTTTCAGTATCTGACAAAGCTGCCTCAGATTCAAGGTCACCAACCAATTGAGAAAGGCAGAAAGGAAGCAGGCCGGTCCAGCGTCCTCCCCACGGGCAAGCTATTGTGGCGGAAGCGTTGCCAAAGGTAAACCTGTTCTCTCATGATTAAAGGCATGTGCTTTTAGCTAGGGGTCACCGCCAAGCAAGCTCGCTTTGAAGAGACAAAATGCCTAAAGCGTGTTCAAATTTGTGCTTAAGGAAATGTATTTATGAACAGAGTCTGGTGGTGCAGGCCTGTATTCTCAACTATTTGGGATGCTGTGGAAGGGCTAGCCTGGGAAAGTTAGTGACACCTTATCACTACCCCTCTTCACACACACACACACACACACACACACACAAACACACAGCCTAGGAATGTAGCTCAGAGTAAGAACACTTGCCCAGCATGTGATGCGTGAGACCCTGGTTCAATCCACACTGCAAAAACAAAAAGAAATTATCCAGGCTGGGGCATGTTTTCTTCTTCCTTCCACAAGATGTCTTAGTATAATCTCAAAAAGAAGAGTCCAGAAGCTGACAAATTCATACACATGCTTGAAGATATACTTTTGAAGCCATTAAAACATTTAACAGGAATTTTTCTTTGATTTTCATTGTTAAGTGAATAATACATATAAATATATAAATATAGCCTGATTTGGTGTTTGCTTAATCATGGGGCCCCATGAGATTTTTGGACTCCATGAGATTTACTCTTCCATGTTAGCATATTTGCTGGTATTGTCCCTATTCAGATCTTACTCAGACAGTCATATAGTTGAGGTATCATAGAGCCAATGTCTCTGCCGTTCCTAGGAGACAAGATCTCACAGAAGAATTCCTGGTCCTGTGCCTTTTACAATCTTTCCATCCTGTCCTCGGTGATGTTCCCTGAGCCTAAGGTGTAGGAGTTGTGCTGTAAATGTATGCCTTGGGGTTGAGCACCCTGGCATCAGTTATTCTATGAATTTGGAACAGTTGTGGCTCTCTAGGGTCTTAATGGTCTTCATCTGCCTAAAACAAAGCTTCCTTGGTGAGAGATGAGAGCTACACTAATCTGGGGCTGTGCCAACTGTCAAAAGTTTGGCTTTAGTGTTCAAGTCATGACTCCTTGTTATATATTTTAAAAAAATCTAACAGCATTTCTATATTTGTGTATGGGGAGAGCACTATAAGGAGTGTGTGGTCAAAGAACAACCTTATAGGTTGTTGGCTCTCTCCTTCTCCCATGTGGGTCCTTGGAAATGAACTCAGAGCTTCAGGCTTGGGGGCAAGCACCTTTCCCCAGTGAGCCATCTTGCCAGCTCATCACTCCTTTTTTAAATTATATATCTAGTCTCCTACATATTAATTTGTATTGTTTTTACATGAAAGAAAAATCCCTGGTCAGATTCAGTACACTTACAGAATAGGAAAATATAGACCGACATTTCTATACAGTCCAGTACTGCAGACACACAGCAGTTTATATTAATTATAAACTGTTTGACCTATTGCTCAGGCTTATTACTAACTAGCTCTTATGACTTAAATTCACCCATAACCATAAGCTAGTGACTTGGTACCTTTTCTTAGGAAGCCATTCTCATCTCACTTCATCCGTTTGTGGATGATGACTGTGTCTCTTGTCTTCCCTCTTCCCAGAATTCTCCTAGTCTGGTTGCCCCGCCTATACTTCCTGCCTGGCTACTGGCCAATCACTATTTTATTAAACCAATGTAAGTGACATTATCCTACAGCAAACTGTGGTCATATTTTCTGGCAATTAGATATTTGGTAATCACTGCCCACATTCCCCAAAAATGGATTATGGATGTCTGTCTTTGTTTAGCATGTTGGTGACAAGTTGTTATGAATAATGGTCAGAGAAAACACTAAACAAAGGAGGATTCAGGGTTCCTGTTTTGAAAAGAAAAGAAAGGGAAATTCTGTGGGATAATACTCTTGTAAAGATCTGTCACTCATATTCATTTAATAAACACTAATTGGCCTGTAGCCAGGCAAGAAGTATAGGTGGGGCAACCAGAGTAGGAAAATCCTGGGAAGAGAAAAGACAGAGAGACAGTCATTATCCATAAGCAGAGGCAGAGAGATGAGAATGCCTTACTGAGAAATAGTGCCAAGCCACACAGCTAGACACAAGCAAGAATTATGGCTGAATTTAAATCATAAGAGCTACTTAGTAATAAGCCTGAGCATTAGACCAACCAGTTTATAATTAATATAAGCCTCTGAGACTGAACAGCTGCAGGACTGGGCCGAACAGAAACTTCTGTCTACAGGAAAACATATAAACACCATGACTGAAAGCACCTGGTTGAAGAAAGGGTTTATTTGGTTTACCCTTGCAGAGCACAGACACCACTGAAGGACGTCAGGGCAGAAACTCAAGGCAGGAACTATGGAGAAACATGGCTTGCATATAGCTTTTCTTGTACAGCCCAAAACCAGATGCCCAGAGACGGCACCACTGGTTATGCCTTCCTGTATAAATTAGCAATCATTTCTCCATAAACTTGCTCACAAGTCAATCTGATCCAGGCAATTGTTCAGCTGAGCCTTTTCCTTCCAAAAGACTCTAGGTTGTGTCAAGTTGATAATAAAACTTAATCAGAACACAACCTAATATCATCAAGTAAATGAAAATGTTTCTGTGAGTAATAAGTAGACAGTTATTCAATCCTTTGAAAATGATAAAGAAATGTATTTCTATAAATTAAACAAAAATTAGAGTTCTTTGTGCCCAGAATATTGGAAGTAATCAAAATTTTGGGGTATAGTAGGTCTCAACATACAATATCCAAAGAAATAGAGTTTAAATACTGAGGAATATTGTTTTTAAGATAAAAATGTAGGCCTTCTGTACAGTAACATAATTTGTATTCCCGGTTTATATGTTTTTCAATTGCAGGATTTTTTTCTCTCTTGGTTTTCTTTGAGAAAAAAAAAGCCAAAGAAAGCAGCAGTGATGGCTTTGACCATAATGGGAGGAGGAGGAGGACAAGAGGACAGACAAAACAAATAAAGAATCAAATCCCAAGGCATAAAAAACAAAAAAGCTTCAACAGACAAGACTGTTGAAGAAGTCTCTATCGTAACAATTTTCTAATTTTTTAAGTAGGAATTTTTATAATTATTCATACAATATATTTTGATCACGTTTGCCCCCCCCAACTACTCCATGCTCTCTCTTCCTCTCTTTCTCTCTCTCTGTCTCTGTCTCTATCTCTCTCTGTATGTGTGTCTGTCTCTCTCTCAAGCTCTCTCTCTGTGTCTGTCTGTCTCTCTCTCTCTCTCTGTCTCTCTCTCTGTATGTGTGTCTGTCTCTCTCTCAAGCTCTCTCTCTGTGTCTGTCTGTCTGTCTGTCTGTCTCTCTTCCTGTCTCTCTCTCTCTCTCTCTCTCTCTCTGTGTGTGTGTGTGTGTGTGTGTGTGTGTGTGTGTGTGTGTGTGCGGGGGAGGGGAGGTCTACATGCCTGTTTCTCTGTCTCTCTTTTTAAAAAGAAAAGAGGATGGTGGAATGGAATGGAGTGCTATGAAGAGATAAAGGAGAAACTAAAATAATATTAAATGAGAGGGGGAGGAGGGTAAAGGAGGGAATGTGTGAGATACAACTGATCCTAAAGGCCCTTGGCAAAGCTTTAAGGAAGCCTGCTACTGTAGACAATTCACATGTAATACTTAAAGACATTTCTATTCATAAGCTTATTTATTATGTACCTCATTGATCTCTAGCTGATGAGTTCACATTGGACACGTTTATCAAAAAGATTGTTTGTTTATTTTCAAACAAGGGCTTGCTTGCTGAAAACATACACATACCAGAGCCTGAACCTGAGGCGGTGGCATCATAAATCAGGTCTTTGAGTGTTTTTCCCGGGTTTACCAGGCTGTATTCTGCCAGAGGTTCCTCGACGTTGTGCCTCTTGGTCTTTCTGTATGTGCACTGGCGGTCTTGGCATGCCCATATTGCCAGCATGGCAGCTATAGACAGGAGGCAAACAGGCACAGTAATGACAATGGTCAGCTCCGTGGGGCCCAGTCTGGGAGCCTTTGGCGATACTGCAGTTTAAAAAGAAAGAAACGGAAGAAAGAGAGAGAAAGAGAAAGTTATAAATCAATTCATGTAAAATATTTTAGCATTTTTTTAAAATTATTTTTTCTGTATATGTATTGTTAGAATTTGTTTGAAGGGAATAATTGAGAGTTTTGCAGTAATTCTAAAACCAAACATTATTTTATTTTGAGAAAGCGTCTCAAGTAGCCCAAGTTAGCCTGAAACTATGTAGCCAAAGATAACCCAGAACTGTTGATCCTCCTGCTTCCACCTCACCAGTACTGGAATTATAGGCGTGTGTATGTATCTGTATTCAAAGATACATATCTGTAGTACACACTAAGCCATTCATGACTTTGTAAGTAAGTTGAAAAAATAGTTTAAAAGTACTAACATTAAAAATTATTTTGGAAATTCCAAATGCAGTCGCTAAAATTCCTCACCTAGACTATGCAACCATAAAAGCACAGATTTAAGTTCACTGGCAAAGACCAGAGTGGGAGCAAAAATAAGGGGAAAAGTGAGAGGTGACGGCACATATTACCATGGCAATGGAAGGCAGGGGTAGAGAAAAAGTATTGACTTGGAAGATTTTTTTTAAAAAAAAATCCAAAATATTTGATGCTCTTAATTTTACTGTTTTCTCCTTGTTCTTCAGCAGTCCCGTCCTTACAGCAAATCTATCCATCTGTTCATTCATTCCCCCAAATACTCATCAGGGATGTGAGGGCGATCTGGCTGCTACATCTGTCACCCCATTGATCGCCAGGGTTGATTCTGCTGATCTGGCTGGCTAGGCGAGTGTTCCCTTCCTCCTTCACCCCTCCATGTGTGTCCCTTCCGAAGCTGCGCGCTCGGTCAAAGAAGACAACCTTCCCCCAATAGAGGAGGACCGGTCTCCGGTCAAAGGTATCCGAGTAGCTGCGCTCCCCTGCTAGCACCTCCAAATACCCATCAGACTCTTGGAATGTGTTGCAATTATTCCAGGTGCCGGAAATAAAATGGCGAGTGAAGAGCCCAATCCTTGCTCTCTGCGCTCATGAACTCTCATAGATACAGACAGCTGAACAGAGGGCTGCAGAGCAGGAGCGGGAGAGGAGATAAATGCTATGAGGTTGAATCAGCAGAGAGGACATCGTGATAGCATGATGTCACTGTAGACTGAGTGGTCCTAGAAGGCCTCTCTGCAGAAGTGTCATGGAGACAGTGAAACAAAGCGAGACTGAATGGCAGCTCAGAGTCCCAGCGTGGGGGAAAGATGGTGCGAGGGACTGGGAGGTGGACACCTATTTGGTCAGTTTGGCAAAACATCCTAGACATAAACAGAGAAAAGACGAGGAAACGGGATCAAGGAATTAACGAGAAACCTTGTGTGGTCTATTGCAGGCTAAGGGAAGGAGTAGGGGGTTCATTTACCTCAGAAGCTCTTTTGAGGTTTGTAGGCAGCGTCAAACTTTAATTCTGAGTGGCCACTGTGTCAATAGACACTTGGAACAAGAAGAATGAAAATGGAGACCGGCTAGAAGCCCAGGTCAACAAGCCTGGTAGAAGGCAATGGTCTCAGCTGACAACCCTACCAAAAAGCACTTTCATGAAGCTGGGCCCAGAGCAATAAATATGCACTCCCAGACACAGAAGGACAAACTCAAGGCCAGCCTTGGTGACGTAATTAATCATCTCAAAATTTAAAAAAATAAAGGCAAAGTTTTAAATATTTGAAAAGAATTTCTTCCCAGTCTCCACTCACTCCCTGGAACCTTGTTATGTTCCTGTTGGGGCTAATAGGCTGTCAGGTCATTTTCTCATTCATCCATTATCTGACCTGATTGTCTCTGAGGACAAGGAGGAAGCTGCCTGTGGTATTCCTAACTGAATCCCCAGTGCTTACAACAGTGCCTGACACATAGTCAGTCCTCAGTAAAGAGTACATAACCAACTGTCGGGGTTCCTGAATGTTTGACTAGTTTTATCCCTGGTAAGTAAAATGCCTCTCACTCAAAATCATCAGTGTGATCACTGAAACCAAATACCGGACAGACATAATCAGGCCAGGGAAGATGGCTTAGCAGGTCAAGCACTCTCTGCACAAGTGTAAGGAACAGAGCTCCCATCCCCAGAATCCATGTAGAAACTGAGAGCACATAGGGACCTGCCTCCCTGTAACCCCAGCATTAAGGGATAGAGACAGGATCCTCTTCAGAGCAGACTGTCTAATGAGACCAGCCAAATGACCAAGGCCTAGATGCAGTGAGAGACCCTGCCTTAATATATAAAGTGGAGATCAACCATATTAGACACCTGATATCAACCTCTGGCATTCACACACACACTCACACACACACACACACACACACACAC